AAGCCGGGAAGCCGGGTCACCTGTAGGCTGGGTCACCTGTAGGCTGGGTCACCTGTAGGCCGGGTCACCTGTAGGCTGGTAGGCTGGGTCACCTGTAGGCCGGGTCACCTATAGGCTGGGTCACCTGTAGGCTGGGTGACCTGTAGGCTGGGTCACCTGTAGGCTGGGTCACCTGTCAGCTGGGTCACCTGTAGGCTGGGTCACCTGTAGGCTGGGTGGCCGTGACGCAGCCAGGTGTGCAGCCGCCTGGTGTTGGGCTGTGTGTGAGGCGGGCCCTGCCCCACAGTGTGTGGTGTTGCCGAGCCCCTTGGCTCCCCGGCGGGCGTTTGGCTGTTCTCAGGGCTCAGCTGCCCCAAAGCATCGTCTCCCCTGTTGGGGAAGAAGTGGACCCTTTAACATTTCCCCTCTTTCATGAGGGAAACATTCCAGGCTCACGGCGACTTTTTTACACGTGTGGGAAGGTTCTGAGTCAGGAGGGGGCGCGGGGGACTGTGGGATGAGCGAAGCATTGCCCCAGCCCATTGGGGTTGTCCCTGGAAAAGCCACCTGCCCCCGGGCCCCGCTGCCCCAGCGTGACCTGCATATGATAGGGCTGCAGACCATGTGACCCCAATGGGACCCTCCCTAGAAGCCATTTATTTGTGATGGACGCACTTGAACTCCAAGAGGCAGGAACATCTCTGGCTCCAGGTCTGCGGAAGCTGCTGTGTGTCCTCAAGGCTGGGTGGCCATGACCCAGCCAGGTGTGCGGCCGCCTGGTGCCCTGGCTGTGTGTGAGGCGGGCCCTGCCCCACAGTGTGGGGTGTTGCCGAGCCCCTTGGCTCCCCTGGGGGCGTTTGGCTGTTCTCAGGGCTCAGCTGCCCCAAAGCATCGTCTCCCCTGTTGGGGCAGAAGTGGACCCTTTGACGTTTCCCCTCTTTCATGAAGGAAACATTCCAGGCTCACGGCGACCTTTTTACACGTGTGGGAAGGTGCTGAGCCAGGACGGGGCGCGGGGGACTGTGGGGTGAGGGAAGCATCGCCCCAGCCAGTGGGGTTGTCTCTGGAAAAGCCACCTGCCCCCGGGCCCCGCTGTCCCCGCCTGACCAGGAAGCACCTGCGCAGAAAGGCTTTGGGCAAAGGCGCCAACGACACTCAAGAGACACAAGGAAACCCGGGAAAGCCCGATGCTTGTGTGTCCAGCAAACACTTTCACAATGAAACTCCTATTATCCAGACCCATCCAGAAGTGACGATTACAAAGAAGCCACAAGAATGCACATATTTTCTTTTTCTTAAAGTTAGTAAAACTTCCTGGTAACTTACTGTATAAAATAAACACGTTGTATCTGCTCTGGGTCCCTATCTCTCCATCAGAGGGCAGCTGACCCACCCTGTCCCAGCTTTCCCTACTGTCTTTGTGTCTGTCTCTTTCATTTTCTCAATCCCCTGTTGCCCCTACTCAGGACTCCCGTCTGCTCTCTAGCTGTGCTGGTCGCAGAAAAGAGAGAAATATTTATAGACTGGCATCGTGTGCCTGTGGAGAGAGGCGAAGCTTTATTGAGGATGCGTGCAGTGTGCAAGGTCAGGGTCACCCTCACCCTGGCAGGCGGGAGAGGAAGGTGGGAGTCAGTCGGGGTCTCAAAGCTGAGGGTCCGTGATGGGCCAGGGGTGGGGCCAGGTTGAGCTCCGCCTTTGTGGGAGAGCCTCCTGTGCCCGTGCTGGGGGGACAGGACCTGCTCGGAGATGCTCCAGGCCGCCGACCACCCTATGTGGGCCGCACCTTCATCTCGGCCACCTTGTAGCTGTAGTTGTGGCCCTTCCCCGACTTCCAGTTGATGCCCTTCGCGTAGCTCTCGTGGGGGCCCCCGAGGTAGCGCCCGGACAAGCTCACCATCCTCCGGGGCTGCCCAGGGCTGCCAGGGGCCACGGGGCCCAAGGGAGAGGCAGGTGCCGACGGCAGGAGAGTTGAGTGCCCGGGTGAGGGGTGCTGGGCCTCGTCCCTGCCCAGGGAGACCTGACACGTGGCAGTTGTAGTACCACCAGGCGCCCTGGTAGACCTGGGCGCAGCTCCCTGTGTGCCCGTCGTTGTCCTGGTCTTTGGTGGAGAACAGGGAGCTGTTGTGGGCCGTCAGGGAGTCGCCTGCTCAGAGGGAACACGGAGGGAGGTGCTGTTGGTGCTAAAGAGAAAGCGCTGCCCGGGGTCCCCGCCCAGGTCCTGCTCCCGCCTCTCCTCAGGGCCCCGCACCTCGGAGACCAACCGCCCAGCCCCAGGGCCCCAGGAGCCCACACAGGCCTGGGGGCCCCTGACCCAGGGCCAGG